CACTTAACAACAACAACAACAAGTTTCAGGGGTTCATCCATTCCTCTTGGCTCCAGAAAGTCTGGAGTCCATGAGAATTTGAATTTTGTTCTGCATTTTCCCCCATTGGGTTTTTGGTTTACTGAAATTGTTAACTTAAAGAATATATCTAAATGTTCCACAACTCTCCTTCATGTGAATTTTAAAAATCTGTTTGAATTGGTACATGTCCTTCCCAAATAAAACCTTGAAATTTTAAAACATTTTAAAATGTGAAATACACATGTTCATGTGTATATTTTATTCCCATCGTTTTTCATTTCATCAGGTCTCTCCCAGGTAGGTTGGTGTTGGGAACAATATAAATGCCTAATAAAGTTGTTCTGTATTTTTTTCAGGATGTCTTGTATATACAGCACCAGAAATCCTGAGGGGCGCTGATTTTTCCATCACCAGTGATCTCTGGTCTTTGGGCTGTCTGCTTTATGAAATGTTTTCAGGTGATTATTTTCTGGTTCAGTTTAAAATCAGAGGTAGACTTAATAAAACAACAACAACAGAGGTTAAAACTATAGTTTGCCAATATTTTACTTATAAGATCTTTCTCAGAATATGCCAAAAAATTTGTTTTGTTAAATTTTGATAGATACTGATTTTGGCTGCATTGCCTGGTATGCAGTCATGCTCAGGTTCTTAGGAACTGATTAACATACAGGTATTTTTCATGTTAATCATCTGAAAGGTGATTAATCATCATTGAAAGATGCCTGACTATTAAAAATAGTGATTATTAATGGAAATTCTTCTAATGATAGTTGGTGATTTTCAATCACACAGATGTTCAGGGGCCCATTGTAACCCTTCGATCATGGTAGTTGGGCTCATATATAAATTTGGGTATTTGCTAGGATGATAAATGCTGAATTAGAAAAATATAAAAATATATAGCCAATGTGCCTGGTACATATAGGCATTCAATAATTACTTCTTAATTAATATATATGTGTGTGTATAAAATCACTAATACTAAATATATTTTTTCTATAAATTATGTAATACTGAAATATTTGTAGTTGAGATTAGAATTATTGGTGATAGAAAACTTGTTTAATTTTGAAAGTTTTCATGTGATTTCAGGAAAACCTCCGTTTTTCTCAGAACATTTTTCAGAATTAATGGAAAAGATTTTATATAAAGATCCTTTGCCACCTATTCCAAAAGGTAAGATTTCTTATAAATGCAGTTAATTTGTATTTTATGTTAAGAGTTTACCTTTATTCAGTCTCTTGTTATTGATTCATAATCCTCAAAAGTTATTTTTTAAAACTGATCTCAAATTGATAGTTTCAGAAAATTACCATTCCATTTTGGGTCTTTTTTTTTTTTTAAAGATACTTAAATGGAAAACAAAACATTGCTAATTGTGTCCCTTATTTTAAAAAACAAATTATTTCATGCTTCTCTGCCACAGGAAGTTTGATTTAAAAAATGTAGATGTTTATGTACTTTTTTTTTTTTGGTATGTATCATTTACTTGATTTGTACTTCTGTCCAACGTGGTTATTTCTATCTAGTTTTGAATAGGGATAAATTGAGCATTTCTTAGCCCTTATCTTGATAACTTGATGACAAGTTTTTAAAGTCTTTTAAACTGGATTTAGTTTACTTTAAAAGTATTATACTGTAACCATATAAATTGTAAGTGAAACTTTAATTTACCATTGACAGTACTTTTAAGGAAAGAAAAAAGAACACAAAAACATAATTAAATTTTTTGCCATATACCATGAAAAAAGTGAATCTTAATAAACATAAATGAAAACAATTACAAAAGAATTAACGTGAATTACTAAAAGAAAGACATTTTTGAAGTAATTACTGGAGAAAATGAAATGCAGAATATTTGCAATATTTCAAGAATTTCCTAGGTTGAAAAAAAACCAAACAGTTGATATTTTGAAAATCGTCTACATTTTAAAGTGAAGAAGACTTGCATTTTCTTTTTCTTTCATTAATTTTACTTTTTATAGAAAGTAGTCATTCCTATCCTGTCATGATGGCTTTTGATTTTTTTTTTTTTTTAAACTCATAATATTGGTCATTGTTTTCTCTTGTAAATTAAAGGCTTGGTTATGCAAGGAAGAAAAATCTGAAAATGTTAAGGGTCAAGTCAATGTATCACTGGTTTCCCAAGCTAACTGTATTTTTTTTTGCAAATAACATGTACTTTCTACATTTATTTGCCAATTGCACCCTCCCTCTGGGAGGTATTTTTGTAAGTCCTGCAAGCGATGCCATGCCAATTTTTTTTCTTTTTACCTATTGATGTAAAAAAAATAAATTAGCATATCGAGTTTGTAAAAATACCTCCCAGGGGGAGGGAGCAGTTGGCAAAGACACATGGAAGATGCATGTTATTTCTGAAAAAATATGCTAATTATTTCCTAGTATCTCTATCAGGACAGGCCATAGGGCCCGTCAGTGCCATCTGTTTTGAATGCTTTGTCTCAAGGGTGCTTGTCCATTGTCTTGGGTCCTTTTCATCATGACTGCTTCTTTTAGTTAGAAACTGGTTAATTGGTCATGTTATATAGCTGTCTAATAGAAAAAGACAAAACATTTGGAGATTAATGGAATTGGACAGAATCACAATGTTGTTATGTTTGAAAATCTCCCAGTAGAGAAGAGATATATCACAAATATTGTAATCATAGTGTATCCGACTCGATGGCAGTGAGTTTGATTATAAAGCAAAGTTGGTAAAGTTGAGAATACCTAGGGGAAGGAGGTAAAATTAATAGTTGAAGGCAAGGGTACAATATGTCAGGCTGGTGACTCTTGTTGAGGTTATTAAAAAATGAAAAAGTTGAGATGGTACTCAAGACATAGTTTTGAAGATTCGTTTTTTTATTTGTGGTCTAGAGAAAAATGTTTTACATATTTTTGGCCCCTTTCCTCCATTAAATGGAGGCTGCAATTATTATTTGTAGATTCATTGGTCTCTTAAAACAATTTATGAGCTTTAAATACTATTACTTTAAATGATAATCTTGTTGTTGTTGTTGTTATGTGCCGTCAAGTCGGCCCCGACTCATAGCGACCCCTCCTTGGGTTTCCGAGGCAGTATCACTACGGAAGTAGGATTGCCCGACCTTCCTTCTGAGGAGTGGCTGGTGGGTTTGAACTGCCAACCTTCTGGTTAGCAGTCAAGTGCTTTAGCCACTATGCTACCAGAGGATAATCTAGGGCATTAAATTTGTTGTGTTATGTATACATCTATTTACCACTTTGTTTTTGGAAATTATTTTGCTTTTAGATTCTTCTCTTCCTAAAGCTTCTTCAGATTTTATTAATTTGCTTGATGGTTTACTTCAAAAAGATCCTCAGAAAAGGTATGGATGGTATTTTATTATGAATAGTAGAAATTTTTGTGTGTGTGTGCTTCTAAAATGGTGCTCTACTTAATACACAAGTACCTATTCAAATTATATTTTAAAAAACCAAAGTGACTTTAGACTAATGAGTGGTTTTTCTCTGATTACAGGTGTTTTTAATCATGAGGGAGTTTTAAAGTTGACAGATTTTCTTGTTACTCCCAAATCAAAGTAGTATGTTTCTTCCCATTGTGGATATCAGACTAAACTGTTTTAGACTGTGGAACTGAGGATGTTGTTTCAAGATTGTCAATGTAATAATTGTTAACTAAATAATATCTTAATGCGGTATATATATTTTAATGATAATCCTATTATATGCATATGAAGTGACAGGATAGATAGGCACATTGGGACCACACCATACCTCCTTTTGCACTCATGCTGTATATTATGGACACTTACCCATTTTTTAAAAAAAAATTTTTATTGTGATTCGGGTGCAGATTTACAAAGCAGATTGATTTTAATCTCAATGGTTCATGCACATTTGGTTTCATGGCCCCGATTACAATCCCAACAATAAAAAGCTCTCCTCTCTGTGACTTTCCCTTCTTTGTGTTCTTCTTATTTGTACATTACTGTCTGTCCAGCTTTCCCTCTACGCATTTGCCCTTTTGATCTCTCACGGTTGGTTGATCTAAGGAGTGCATCTCCCTGCAGTTTGGTGTTCTTCTGTAGGCCTTTCTGCTATTTGGCTGAGAGCTAATCCTCGGAAGTGAGTCTAGTTCCAGGCCTGAAGGATAACCCAGTGCCATAGTCTTAAGGGTTCCTACCAGTCTTTAAAATCTGACCAGTAATTCTGGTCATTTTTGTCTGTTTGAATTTTGTTCCACGTTTTGCCTCCCACTCTTATCCAGGTTCTCCAATTTTGATCCCTTTTCAAGTAGTTGGTATCAGTAGCCAGGCATCATCTAGTTCTTCTGGTCTCAGGTTTGTTTGTGAAGGCTGAGGTCTCTGTGGTACATCATATCTTTGGATTACTTGTTTCTAAATGACTTTGATTTTCTTCAATCTTTTTTTTCCATACAAGGGGAGACCAATAGTTGTATCTTAGATGGCTGCTTGAAAGCTTTTAAGGGCCCAACCATTACTCACCAAAGTAGGATGTAGAACAAGATTTGTGTACTGTGTTGTGCCAATTGAGCTTGATGTCCCCTGTGACTATGGTTCCAAGCCCACAGGTTCAACTACTCTGTCCCTCTGGATAGCTGGCTGTGACCAAGCAGTGACCACAACCTTGCCCCTTGTCAGCTCTACTATACATCTGGGAATTCTGATCATTCACATAAA